TGTTGGAAAGTGAATGGCTGGAGAGATGAAATGCAATTGGCCCAGAATCCCAAAATGAGGAAATATGTGCTTCAGTTTTCTAAAAAGATACTTGGCTATAGACCTCCAGTATACATACTGTTTTAGCAGTTTTCAGTAAAAGAACAGAATGAGAAGTGTTTATGAGTAAGCCTTGAAATGCACAGTTTTGGTTTTGGAAAATAAGAAGGAGATCTGTCAAGCTCTCTGCGCTTTTCAGATCAAAACATTTTTGGATGTAGTGTAGCTGTACAGGTCCCTGCTAGCTGTGCAAGGTGTAATGATTTACGTTAGTAGTATATAGACTGGTAAGATCAAAAGGGAAAGCTTAAAAAGTATTGTAGTGCTGCTTCCTGTTCAGAGATGCATTTCATCCCTAAGCCAAGGGTGGTGAGCTCTGTTCTACAAAAGAGAGCTATTGGCATCCCATCAGTATCTTATTAATTCCAAAATATTTTAGTCAACAGGCAGTTTACCTCTGCACAACAACTATTGTTGTGGACTTCTAGTGAGAATAGACAGTGAAAACAGCAATAGTAATTCATTGTCAGAAAAAGAAAATGAGATGTGGGGCATACCACTACAGTTTGGGAAACAAGTTGATTAAGCTCATGTTCATTGTGCAAAATGTTGACTTCAACACCTTTCACCATCATTACTTTAAAAAAAGTGGCTTGAATGATAACTGCATTTCATGGAGATCTTATCTGACCTTATCTTAGAAAAAACCCTAAGCAATGAGGACTCCCCAGGTGTGGATCTGGGGGGTTCAGGAGAAATATTACAACATGATCTTCTGTTGGCATACTTAAGTAGTTGATGTAAGCTTAAACCAGGCATTACAAGCAGAATATTAGTGCCCTTAGACAAAATAAGATAGTGTGAAGGAGTGCTGGAAGAGAGTGTGCCATCCCCTGCTGAAGAAAGGAATCCAAGGGAAAGGAGAGTAGAAAAAAATGGAGGAACATCATAGAGGGAGAGAAAGCCCGGGAGAAAATGAGAGAGTAGGTGAGAGCAGAGATTTGAAGTGAGGGAGAAGGTGCGATTGGTGAAGAACAAGAGCTGTCAGTTTGGCAGGAGGATACAAATACCGGGAGCAGCTGCCAGTTTGAGGTAGAGATTGAGCTGTGGAAAAGAAAGAGACCTAGAGAAGTTGCGGGAGTATGAGAGGGTCAAGACGCAAGAGTTGCTAAGGGACTTTCCTCACTTGAGGATAGGAGGATTGCTTCCTGACCTGATCGCGCGCGAGAGAGAGAGAGAGAAAGAGAGGAGGTGAATATAGAACCTCTTAGGAGGACTGCTTCCTGACCTGATCACGCGCAAGAGAGAGAGAGAGAGGAGGTGAATATAGAACCTCTAGAATGGTCGGTGGTGGTGTTTCCTAAGAAACAAGGTAGAGGACAGCGTGTGATCTGGCCGGATGCGAGTTTCGACACCCCACCTTTGGAAGGAGACTGGGCACGGCACCCATGTTGCGGGACCATTTGCACGATGCGGATGCTTCCTGACCTGATCACGCGCAAGAGAGAGAGAGAGAGGAGGTGAATATAGAACCTCTAGAATGGTCGGTGGTGGTGTTTCCTAAGAAACAAGGTAGAGGACAGCGTGTGATCTGGCCGGATGCGAGTTTCGACACCCCACCTTTGGAAGGAGACTGGGCACGGCACCCATGTTGCGGGACCATTTGCACGATGCGGAGTGTCCCACTGCGGAAACCGACCGATGCAGAGAAGTTTGGTCCTGCACCGACACCCCACCTTTGGAAGGAGACTGGGCACGGCACCCATGTTGCGGGACCATTTGCACGGTGTGGAGTGCCCCACTGTGGAAACCGACCTAAACAGGGAAGTTTGGTCCTGCACCCCTTTGAGTTCTGTGGGGGAGAAGACTGACCCAGCTATGGACAGTTTTGGTATATTACCTGAGTTGAGTTTTCTACACCTGTTCGCCACTACTGTTGATCCATTAAATGTTAATAAATCAGGTGTGGAGTGCCCCACTGTGGAAACCGACCTAAACAGGGAAGTTTGGTCCTGCACCCCTTTGAGTTCTGTGGGGGAGAAGACTGACCCAGCTATGGACAGTTTTGGTATATTACCTGAGTTGAGTTTTCTACACCTGTTCGCCACTACTGTTGATCCATTAAATGTTAATAAATCAGACACCACTATTGTTAATCCATTAAATGTTAATAAATCAGAAGTTGTTAAAGTGAAAAAGATGACTCCTCTGATCCTTCCCACCTTAGATGAAGAACCATTCCCCCTAGACAGTGAACCCATTCACAGATGGCAGTTTTTGAAAGTACAGTGGAGCCCCGCTAGACACTTACCTTGGTAGATGACAAAATCCCTTCACGATGAGTATTTTGCTATCGCTATTGCAATCGCAAAACGGTGTTTAGATGGTGAAAATCCGCTTGACGACGATCGGTTCCATGCTTCGGGAACCTTTTTTGCTTTACGACGATCAAAACAGCTGATCGTCGGGTTTCAGAATGGCCCCCCCCTGTTTCAAAATGCCCCCCCCCCCCGCTGTGTTTCCTCACTTTACTAGCACCGGAAAATGCCTGCCCTATGAAGGATCTTCACTTTACGATGAGGTATTTCGCCCATTGGCATGGATTGAGCGGTTTTCAGTGCATTTCAATGGGCTTTTTACTTTCGCTTGACAACGATTTCATTCTGAAGTGATTTTGCTGGAATGGATTATCATCGTCAAGTGGTGCACCACTGTACAATAAATACCTGTGTTGGTTGTTGTGGGTTTTTCGGGCTTCTTGGCCGTGTTCTGAAGGTGGTTTTTCCTAACATTTCGCCAGTCTCTGTGGCCGGCATCTTCAGAGGACAGCAAACTGTGCTTTATCATACAATACCTGTGTGATAAACATGTTAAGGTTTATTTTATTGTAAGAGCCCATTAAATATTGTGTAGGCCTAAAACACCCTCTTGAACCTTTTATTCCGAAACATTGTAAAGATGGATCAAACCTTGTAAAGATTATACTGCTGATAAAATTTTTAACAAAATACTGACCAGAATCCAGTTTGCCATTGTGAAGTACAGTGGTGCCCCGCATAGCGACGATTGTGTGTCCAGGTAGAAATAATCAAGAGTTTGGCCACTTTTGGTTTTCCTTTTGATGGTTAGGGTTTGGTTTTGACAGTTGCTCAGCAGTTGAATTCAATGGCCGAGTTGTCATTATGTGAAAGAAATTTGGCAAAGGAATCAAATTAAAGTGAAAAGTCACTGTAACTCCATTTACTGATTATCGGTTTTGCAATATATATCTAATATAAGTAGGTTTTAATGCAGTTGCAACATCCTAAATTCTGTAAAGCCAAATAGATGCAGTGAGCACAATCCACGTTTGCATAAGAATAATTTCTGTAGTTACTCATCTTAAGATGTGATCCCTATTAAAACATCACAATGCAATCGTATTAGCGATCGCAAAAAACGCGTTGCTATACGAATTCGTCGTTAAACGGTGCTCTCGTTAAGCAAGGCACCACTGTATAACTGCTCCAGGGATGGAGTACTCTACAATTGCTCCACTGATCTCATTAAAATACTCCCTTGTGCAAGTAATATAAGACAGTAATGTGCACAACAAGCCATTGTGCGTCCAGGTAGAAATAATCAGGAGTTTGGTCACTTTTGGATTTCCTTTTGATGGTTAGGGTTTGATTTTGACAGTTGCTCAGCAGTTGAATTCAGTGGCCAAGTTGTCATTATGTGAAAGAAATTTGGCAAAGGAATCAAATTAAAGTGAAAAGTCACTGTAACTCCATTTACTGATTATCGGTTTTGCAATATATATCTAATATAAGTAGGTTTTAATGCAGTTGCAACATCCTAAATTCTGTAAAGCCAAATAGATGCAGTGAGCACAATCCACGTTTGCATAAGAATAATTTCTGTAGTTACTCATCTTAAGATATGATACAATATAAATGATATCAATTTTTGTAGGCCTTGGAATTGTTTTTCCGTGTTACCTTAGTGATGCAACTTGCAGTACAGTATTTTTTTTCTTTAATAAATTATATTTCTCTCACCTTTCTAAAAAGTATTCTTGTTTGTTTTGGAGATATCATGGCGAGAGATATGTAGTAACTCATTTCAGAGATGAAGACAATTGTGTGTAAATGTTGCTTGCTTGCTTGCTGGTCAAACACACCTAATCATCCATCCATTCTTTATTGCAAATGCCAATTGCTTCCGTGGACAATTTATCAGCCATTAGGTTTAAAACGTTGGTTTGACAGATTGCTCACACTTACCACTCTGTTGCCAAATATGACAGGCCAAACATTTTGTGGCTTGTTCAGAAAGTAGCTTTGAGGTAACATCTCTCCATTCAAAACATAAAGAATGTAGTATAGAGCATTTGAGACATTTCATAGAAACACTGCTGTAGTTGCAGGTTGAATCTAGAGAAGATTGAGCAAACCTTTTTCCTGGTTCCTCTGCCACACTACAACTCTCTTCCTTTTTCCCTCTGTCTACTTTTGAGGGCCAACAGGCTTCCTGAAATGCTGTTGGTGGGGAACACACCAGTGAGGTTTCAACATGTTCCATTTATTAATTGGAAAACAAAATATTTTTCTTGGTAAATGTAAGAATAGCATGAAAAGGACTACAGTGTATTTTCACTGTAGTTTGCCAAGTCTCGTTTATAGCCATTGTTGTTGTTGTTTAGTCGTTAAGCCATGTCCGACTCTTCATGACCCCCATGGACCAGAGCACGCCAGGCCCTCCTGTCTTCCACTGCCTCCCGGAGTTTGGTCAAATTCATGTTGGTAGCTTCGATGACACTGTCTAGCCATCTCGTCCTCTGTCTTCCCTTTCTCCTCTTTCCTTCACATTTTCCCAACATCAGGGTCTTTTCCAGGGAGTCTTCTCATGAGATGGCCTTCTGTTTATTACTGGAACTATATGTTGTGCATTCTGTAACTTATTTCCTTTCTGCCTTGCAGCTTCAAAGGTGATTGATAACAGTTCTCTCTGAGGAGCCAGAAAGCAGGCAGCTCATGACTTCTGATCAGGACACTAAAGTTGTGGCTGAACCGCAGGTGCAGCAAGTACAAGAAGTTAAAGATAGTTCTCATCTGGTAAGTACAGTATTACAGTCTTGAATCATTTTAAGCACTGTTCTGTGTTGTGAAGTATGCAGCTGTCTTTCAAAACTTGGCATACTGTTTCGCAAAGGTGGTGTCACTGCAAACAGAAGTCCTTGTTTCATCAATTTTTTTTCAGTTGTGCAAAACACATGAAGTAGAAGCTTCTGGTCTTGCTTGTACTCAAATGAGAAATCATATGGCAGATTCTGTTGGTGGATTAAGTCTAAAAATGAGAGTAGGCTGCAGTGAAGGTTGTAGTCTGGTATTATATTGAGCTTCTGCTGAGTTGAAGGCCTACCAGTGTAGTAATTTGAGATTGCCCGTTTGTGCTAACATTGCCATCACACCAAGCAGTGATCTCAGTGGGGAAAAAATGCTTCTGTTTGCACAAAAGCAACATTTCCACATATGGCATGATCCTGCGTTGCTCTGCTGGTGGGACCTTTTGTTCATTGGGAAGCTCTTTAGGCTAAAGAGCCTTGGGTTTATTTGTGGATTTGCTTCTCTTGTAAGTGATAGCTTGCTGATTCATGGAATAGTTGATTTCATAAAATGCGATGTAAATCAGTTTAAATGGGAATTTTATAATACCCCGTTATTCCATGCTTGACATTCAACCCAAATAATGACAGTGGTGCCAGATTTGGGACACATTCAGAGTCTTACCAATGGATGCACTAGTCTAGTAGCAAAGAAGGTAAATAGGATTTATTTATCAGAATCAGCTAAGATTATAGGAAGAGTTTGCATAGGATTTTGTTGCTGAGGTGCTTTCAGTATCGAGAGAGATGGTGGATATGGCTTGCACAGTTCATGGGATTCTTGAAATGACTGTACTAAAATGTGGTGGAGAAATCCTAAGAATCACATCAACAAAAGTATAATGTATCTTTTTGACATTCATTTGGTTAATAATCTGGAAAAATATGTACTGTAAGTAGAAGTTACAGTGACCTCAGATTTCTTTTGCACAGGTGAGCAAAGCATGGGATGCATGCGGCTCACTGTGCTGTTTTGTGAGACCTGTGTTGCTGATGCTCCCCTATAAAAATGCCATATTTTTCCATGTACAGTTTAAGATGATGCTTTTGTCTAAAATCATTAGACACAAAAAAATGAGTGTCGTCTTATACACAGAAATAAGCTGAGGAGAGAACAAAAACAAATGGAGGTAAAGGGATCAAAGCGATCCTGCTGCGCTTTGATCACTGCTTTCCCCTCCACTTTGTAAGCCCCACGGGATTGTGCAGCGCGGGGTTGCTTTGATCCCTTTCCCCCTCCACTTGCTAAGCCCCGCTTAGATTTTTGGATTTGGGGTTAGAAAAGTGGGGGGGGGAATCTTATACATTGGGATGTCTTGTACACAATAAAATACGGTACTGTTTTAACACTACTCTATAGCTGTTGTCCAGATGCAGTTTAATAATAAACAGTTGGAGCACTAGGAGTTAGTTGCTCCTAACAAGGAGGACCCCGTAGTTAGATGGAGCCTGCTTACCTTTTGTAATTTCCCAGTTCCATTTATTTTGATTTGTTGGAAAACATGGTTGATCTGTTTGTGGTCCTATGGCAGCCTTCCAAAGCAAATGCCTCACAGAGATTTGGACTACAGTGCCCCTAAGCATTCATTTCCAGCCATGCTCGCTTAGGCTAGTGGAAGTTGTAGTCCAAAAGGAACATGACAGTGGGAGTTGGCTGGTCCAGCCTCACTAAAGGTTATATTCAGATAGTTCCTGAATGTCACAAGGTCTCAGGTTGTTTTGTAATATTAGTAGGCACCTGCTGTATCCTGTTGAGTAGCTGTGCAGGTGTAACTCAATGTTACATCCATGGTAGCTGCAGTCCTGCTGAGGCGGAAGTACTACAGTATTTACAAAGCGCTTTGGCTGGCACATTGCATAGTCCTTGTTGCTGGGGCAGAACACTGGACCCATTTATGCAGGCATAGTGTTATGTTGTACTTTGATTAAGAGGATTCCAACCAATGAATCAGTAGAGGGATTTTGTATAGCCCAAAGGTTTTTCGCACAGGATAGGGAGCATAATTTCCCACCAAAGCTGGGCCATTTGAACTTGGACCTCATGGAATGCAATGATTTGCAGTTTGTTCACTAAGCTTATTGACAAGATTTCCTACATTCTTACTATGATCTTAAGTTTGACAGATTCAGTGCAGGTTCTGAATTTGAGCTATGAGTATGAAGCAAGCAACATTAGTTTTCTTTCCGCAAGCAATGGGGTGAAATATTTTGAGCTCAGGGAGTTCAAAGATATGTAAAGGTCTTAATATGGGGGTGGGGGAGTTTCATATCACTCCATTCCTGGCTTCATTTGGGAACTTCTGTGTACCACAGTGAGAGTGGAGGCCATTTAAGGCTAATGTTGGCAGCCATATAATGCAAGAAAGAAAATAGACTCTTAGACCTGTGTACTTACTGTTATCAGATGCATGCAGAACCTGTTTAACGATAATGTCCAAGTTGCAACATGCGGAATAGCTCATCCATAGACTTTCTGCGTTTCCTGAACTGATTGTTCTGCTTTTTATATGTGATGTAGACAAAACTGGATTTCCTTCCTTCCGTATCTGTTTGCATATTAATGTGGATTTCTAATACTAAAGAACAGGATTTGATCTCCATGTAGAATGCTATGTAAATTATACAGTGGTGCCTCGCATAGTGATCGCTCCGTATAGCGACAAAATCGCTTTGTGATGGACTTTTTGCCATTGCAAAAGTGATCGCTTTGCAGTGGTCCCTACGGGGGAAATTCGCTTTGCGATCATCGCAGGGAGGCGATCATCGCAAAGTCCCCATTTTCGGCCAGCTGGGGGGTGGTTTCAAAATGGCCGCCGGGTAAACAAACTGGCCGTCCGCTGTTTTCAGGCACGGATACCTCACTTTAGAGGCACCGAAAATGGCGGTGCTATGGAGGTGAGTTTTTAGCCCATAGGAACGCATTAATCGCGTTTTAATGAGTTTCTATGGGCTTTTTATTTTCGTTTAGCGATGTTATTGCTTAGCGATTTTTTCTGCATGGATTAACATCGCTAAGCGAGGCACCACTGTATATTGAAAGAAGGCAAATAATATGCTACTTACTCTTTCCTGTTATAAAGCAGAGAGAGAGAAAGGAGTTTTAAATTGTGCTTCCTCTTTAAGTAATTCTTTCTTTACTGGTTTAAAAATAATTCTGAAGTGCTGGATTTGCTTGGGGTGGTAATCCACATTGTCTGTCTATCAGATTATTTTCTCTTTCTCTCAATTAATTTTTATGTGTAACAGATTAGAAATACACAGGCACAGTATTTCAGAATTCAGTTGAACATGTGTTGTTGCTTTTGTCAGCATTCTTATATTCACAGAGGGGTGGGTGCTATAGTGCCTAAAAATGGCCTTTTCAGAATGAGATTATTAAGCAATTGGCTTAATAATTGCTTAATAATCAGAAATATAGCTAAAAGATGCATTGTTTAGTATCCTATTATAACAGATGAAGGCATTTTAAGTAACTTGGTTTGGGGTTTTGAGTGGCAATAACATATGAGCAGCCATCCCTGTTCAAACAGTACTATTTTTGGCATCTGGGTGTTGGCTTCTCTCCCCCAGTACTCTTAGAGTGAAGTGGTGTAAGCAGAGTTTACAGTTCGTGGACTTACAAAAGAGAACTTTAAAATGGGTTGCTGTTTCAGTAAAGAACTAAACAACAGCAAGAATGAGAAAGTGAACCTGTTGACAAAATCTGCAGAAGAGGAAACCTCTGAAAATGGGATAAGTAAAACTTTAAGTTCAATTTTGGAGACTGTAGAAAGAAAGGATCTACATATAACCCAGGAGACAGTTTATGGAGAAGCGCCTATACATGGCAGTTGCATGGAGTCACTTAAATGTCCTGCAGGCCATGTTGTGGGAATCAGTAAAGGTGGGCGCATTAGCAGTCAGCCATCTAAACTTCATCCGGTGAATGTGAAATTCTTTTTGGATAGGTATGACTCTTTACAAGAGTGTGAAGTAATGGAGGATGCAGTTGATAGTGAAAGGTTTACAGAAAACGGGAATAATAATGCTCAGTATAGTAATAATGCAGGTAGCTACCATATGAATAGCAATGATGAAAGTGGAATTACGACAGCTAAACAGGCACGCTGTTCATTTGAAAATCCTTTAGTTTCATATGTGCCTGAGGCTTTAAGCCAAGGCACTTTTCTCCCAAAATCCTTAAGTGCACAAGGCAACCCAGTTATGGACAAGTACTTACTGCTGAAGGACAGAATGGAGCTTATTAAAAGTAATAGTGATGAAGTAATTTCAAGTGGAGCAGATACAGAAACAGCAGCATCAACTTTTGCATATCTTGATATAGACAGGCACCCTATAAGCACCAGAAATGAGTTTTATAGCATATGTGTAGTTGATGAAGATCTGGGGATTGATGCAGAAGAAGGGCAGATGGTTGTACATGGAAAAACTACTTCAGGTGTGAAAAATTCAGCTGTTCAAGAAATGTACAACACTACTTGGCCTCTAGACATTAGGAAAAAATTTCAAGTGCCGATTGACAACAACATTCTAAAGGATGCATCTTGCAGTGCCATAAGAGATGCTTTGGTGCCAAAAAATGAGAAAGAAGTTAAAACCTCTGCTGGTTTAGTGATGGGGTTAAATAGTGACAGCATACCAGCAGGTGGTGTAGTGGCACAAGCACAGGCTGAAGAAATCCCTCAAAATAGAATTTGGGAAATAGATATGCTAGATAGTAGAAACTTTGTGAATGAATTAGCTTGTCGAAACTGTGGTTCTCCAAGACGTGTACTCATGGAGAAAGATATGCATGATTCTCTGCAATTAAAAGGCATAACATGTAGATGCAGTTTCACTGTTGATAATGTCTGCAGCTGCAACACAGAAACTCTGAAGTCTGAAACTAATGAAGATAAAACCATTGAAGGAAAAGATTGTAAACAGTTATCAGGAAATCCAAAGCTGGCA